GCGACCCAATTTTCAGGTGTGCTCATTAATAAATTTGAATTTTTTATTATATTCCACGACTCAAATCGCAACGAGGCTGCAATCAATATGCAAAGTGTTGCCACTCAGAAAGGTAATTACGAGTACACTCACACACATCCACACATGTGTGTCTACACACACACGTGCATTCATTAATCATGCTTCATTTGTTGTTTTTTGGATTACGCATGCAACTCGTGTTTGCGGCACACGTTGGGCGCCTTTTAAGTGGGGAGCTGCGAAAATTGGCAATTGACACGCGGCTTGGCGATGACAATGATCATGACTACCATCATGATGATCATCGGTTTAGAAACACCCAAGTCATAGTCAAAAACTTATTCCCATATTGAAATATGATAAAAATAATTAAAATAATAATAATGATAATAAATACTAAACAATAAACAATAAGTAATAAATAAAAAATAAGAAATAATATGTAAGAAATAACAAATCAAAAACTTACACCATAAATAAGAAAAACAAATACATAATAGACAAGTAAATAATATATAGTAAATAATAATAATATTCAATAGTTGGCTACAGGGTATTTCGTAGTCGACTACACCTGCTTATTTGCTTTTCACTTTGTTCTTTGGCCTATCAACAATTGACCGCTTGGCCTTGTCCCAAACCCGAGCAAAGAGCCGCAAAATGTGTTTTATGTTTTGTATTTTGAGGTTGCAATAATCTTATCGCTGGAAAGGCGTTATCATCTATCGGTCACAGCCACACACACACATACACACACAGAAACATTTACCAGACTGCATTCGCTTTATTTACTTTGCTGCTGGGCTGAGCTGGGCTGAGCTGAGCAGAGCTGGGCGTGTATTCCAAGCATTTCCAGCCCACAACATAAGTCAGCGTCGCAGTCGCCGTCGTGTGAATAGCCGTTAAAGCTGATAGGCGTTATCTCTGCCGCAAAAAAAATGCCCATTATCGCTGGAAAAGAGCAGCAGCAGCGCAGCAGCAGCGCATCAGCAGCGGCAGCATATCAGCAGAGCTGCAAAACTTTTGGGTTTTTTATTTTGGGTTTTTTTTGCCTATCGCAAACGAAAACCACCAAAAATAACAACAATAACAAAGCCAATTTTTTTTTTTTGAGGTTAGATTTAGTTTGGAAACTGGAACTATCAGGAAATTGAGGTCAGTGATATTGGTAGGAAAGGAAACCGAATCAACAAAAGTCCAAAGCCCGAAAGCCTTAACAAAACAATAATAATAATATGAATTAGGCCGTTGATAAGCGAAAAATGAAATATTCTTAAATATATATATGTATATGTTTAGTACAAACATTTATTTAAATTGCCTTTGCTACCTATAAAAATTTAACATAACCTAAAAAAATTAATTGTTCAAATACTTGTTCAATTTACTTTGCTTCAATAAATGGCATAAAAAAACAACAAAAAAAAAAATATATATATATGTTATTTTAGTTTTATTTTTGTACAATTATATTAATTAAAACAGATCATAATTTGTATATAACACCAACAATTATTTGAATTCTTTATTATTATTTTTATGCAAATTTTACATTTAATATAGGATAATCTTTGCTAATAACTGGTTAGCTTAATAATCATTAAATGGCTCTGCATAAAATGGAAACAAATATTATTTTAGTTTTTTTTCTATTATGCTAGTAAAACACGTCATTAATGCGAAATAGGAAAACAGCTTGAGAAAATCCCCTTTGGCTGAGTGCTAAAAATCCCAGCTCAGCCTAAAGTGAGTGCGAGAAAGAGACAAAAACAATAAGAGGATGAGGCGGCAATGTTTCGTCATCAAGCAGCCATCGTCATCCTCATCATCATCATCAGCGGCCGGCGCGTCATAAACAACAAAAATACATTTCTCTTAAGTCAAAGTTAATTGCTCTTAAATCAAAGTGAACGATCCGATCGGTAGCTGTGTGTGTGTGTGTTGAAGCCGGGGAAACAACAAAGGCAGGCAAGGGTAAGAGGAAGAGAGACGGACAACAGGTAAGGCATTATATAAAGTGCAGCAGCTTTGTTATTGTTGTTGTTGTTGTTGCTTACGTAAAGCGCTCGCCACACTGAATTGCACTCGAAGAGAGAGTGCGAGCGAGAGAGACGGCGCAGTGAGAGTTCAGGCATACACACACACATAATAGATAGAGATACATAAACAAAGGCAAAAAGCATGCGAAAATCCAGCGCAAAGCATAGAAGCAAAAACAAACGTCACAACGTAGCTAGCGCGTTCACTCCCTCTCTCTCTCTCTCTCTAAGCCTCTGTATCGGTATGTGTTGTGAGTGAGTGAGTAAGCGAGCGAGCGAGCGAGCAAGCGACCGGAAGAGAGCGCACCGCCAGTACGAGAGAGAGTCGGTCGTGTGCCGAGCCGAACTCAAGCCGAGCGGCTAACGAAGCACAGCGCACCCGGCAACGCACAGCGAAAAATGAACGCGCGCCGCACAGAATCATTCTTGAATGCGCGCGCGAACGTTTCGCACCAGCCAAGAGCAACAGACCAGTAAAAGGCAAAACACAAAAAAAAAATAATCCTCCAACACAAAAAAAAAGTGCAAGTGAATTAAAGTGTTTGTTTTTGGCCGGGCCAAAAAAAGTGAAAAGCGAAAATAGTCGCTAAAATAAATACGCAAAATTAAGAACGAGGCCTACTAGCACAAATTCAGGCAAAAATAAAGAAAAACAACAACAACAAAATAAAAGCAAGCAAATATTTAAATAATTAAAAATAAACTCAACAACGGCGACGACGACGTCAACGAATTCTTGACTGTGCTGCCAGCGCGTGTGTGTGAGTGCGTGTGTGCGTGTATGCGTGAGTCTCCCTCGCTCTCCTCTCTCTCTTTGCGAGTGTTTGTGTGCCGCTGACGCATTTTGCCCGTGACAGAAGCAGAAGCAGCAGCAGCAATAGCACCGCTGCTGACGTCGCCGGCCGGCGTTTTGTGCCCAATTAAAGCAATAACAAAAAAAAATAAATCCGCCGTGCTTATTACAATTAATTACTTATCAAATATATCTAATCAATCGGATATATCGCAAATCGCTTGTGTTTGTAATTAATACAATTATTGCATACCTAAATCAAGTGTAAAGTGTTTTTTTCTCAAAGAGAATTTTCAAGGTTGCAAATCAACAAATATAAAAAAGTAAAGGTGATTACATAAAATCTTTATACACAAATTTACACTAAACAGAAGTAATAATACACAAAATATTAATAACATGCATATATAATATGTAATAAATAATAATAATAATGAACATAAAATAATAACTGCGGGCAGACCCAAAAAAAACAATATATAATTTGTAAACAAAAATAATTAAATAAATAAGACGATATATAATAAATATATAACAAGAACTAGGACAATTTATAATAAGTATGTTTTAAAAAAAATGTAAATAAGTATTTAATATTTCGCATAATATATAAGTGAGTAAGAAATCTAAACCGACTTATAATAATTACGTCAACACACTCATAATACAAATTGAACTTAATTAAACTAAATTTATTATTGTTCTGAAAGTAAATTTATAAAATGTATGCTTGTTTGTATTTATAAATTTCGGCTGGATGCTTTTTTAAATTAAGAATAAAAGAAGACAAATAAAGTCAAATATATAAGCCAAGCCAATAAATTGTATTACTTGTTGCTGAGTTTTAGAAAGGATACTTTGCTAAAAATTAGCGGTTTCATTCCTACTTTTTGGAAATGCACTTTTTGATAATAGAAAATATTCCTAAAAAATATCAAAAATTCGAAATTTTACAAAAAAATCTTCTTCTATTTAGAAATTATATATAAAAATATGAGATTACATTTTTATGAGTTAATAAGTTTGTGTTTTATATATATTACTCGAAAGTGATTTCTATTTTTGGGGCGTGTGCATTGTGTTTCAGAGTTGACCCCATTTGTTCTATTTGCGCCACACACAGTGCCAGGGTTTTCAAGGTCACGGCGCCTTCTTTGCTAATTCCCTCCCCTTCCATTCACCCTCTCCCCCTGCTCCATCCTCTTTTGAATGGTCGCAAAATATTTACTCAACTTCTGCCTTAAACTGTCAATTGCGCACTCTATTTATTATTATGTACTTATTTATCTAGCTGTTTATTTCCGTAATTCTTCCGTGCGTTATTAGCTTAATTAACACGGCGTATTTTTGTTTTGTTTTGTGTTTGACATTGTTTTAGTTTTCTCGGAAAATGTTATTAAATGACAAAAAACACAGTTATTAAATTTTCTGGGAAAAATGCCATCGATAATTATATTAAATTGAGCCACAACATTTTCACAATTCATTTTGTAGCATTTAAGTTAATAATGAAAAAGTTAAATATGTAATATAATTTAAATAATTCAATTTACAGGGGAAAATCATTTTAAAAATCATAAATATTTATAAACAATTTAATTTGTGCGATGCGCAAAACTACAATCAAATAAACAAAAATGATTCACACTTTGTTGTTGTTATTTGAGTCGATTCCGAGAAAAACATAAACAAAAACAAAAACAAAAACATAAAAATCCAGCCTGAGGCGATAAGAAATTATTGAGAAATGCGATTTGAATTGAATCTTGTCAACCCTTAATTTGAAAGCTCATTTAAGCTAATCATTTTTTAATTTTTTTTTTAATTGGTACACACTGAATTGCATTTCTAAAAACCAGTGTATCTACTTTTTGGAAATATTTTCTGTTATTAAGAAATATAAATATAAACAGTACAAGGAAAGGGACAAGTTAGAAATTATAGTTAAAATTAAGTTAAAAATAAAATTTAAATTAAAAAAATTAGAAATATTTATAAGATTTATAAAATTTGTTTTGCAAATATTTTGTGTATTAAGAAATATATTTATGAAAAATCGAAAAAGCCTGCATAATTTTAAGAAATTATTTCTAAAATCAAGACAGAATTGCAAATTTATTAATTTATTGATTTTATTTAATTTGCAGGAACCCATCGAGCTGAAGAAGCGTTTGGAGGAGGTGCGTCTGCTGGAGTCTCGTCGCTCCGCTCGACTGGCCGATCAGGATCGGGACACGGACTTTGCCCGCCTGGCCGACATGGGAGGCGATCGCCGCCGAACCACACACAGTATTGAGGTGCCATTGACGCCGCTGACGCCGCCAAATAAGTGAGTAATACTAAAGCTATAACAAAGATATACATGCTATGCACTCGGAAAAAAATAGATCCGAATTAGTTGAAGAATATATGCTTTCCTCTTCGTTCTTTTTATAAAAATATATAATTTTTGAATTTTAGAATATCGGCCTTAAGTCAGAGATTTAAGAATAGCTTTTGCTAGTTTTCCACTTGATTTTTTTCTGAGTGTACTAGGCCCAAGAAATAAACACATATTTTATTCAGTTAGTCAATATAATATATACATATATAATATAGTTGACATCACTAGTGGAAAAACGATTTGCATATTTAATTTCCAAGTTGTTTTTGTTTTTGTTTTGATTATGCGTTCTTCGATCTTGCGATTTTATTTGCTCAACGCGTAGTTTGCATATGTGTGTATCTGTGTGCCTGTGTGTGCATGGGTGTGTGTGTGTGTGTGAATGAGTCTAGGCTATATCAATAATTCATAAACGCCGACAAATTAGCGGAACAAGCCAAGTCACGATCACATACAGTCTCCCTCTCCCTCTCCCTCGAACTCCCTCACCCATCTTATCTGTTCCACTCGCCCCAACTCTCCTCCTTTTGCTCCCTCTCGCCGGCATACAAATATGTGTGTCGCCTTTGGGTTCTTATCGAAGCTAAACAACAGCCGGCTAGACGAGACACCGACCGGCTATTTAGCATAGACGCCCGTCTGCCAACTGCTGCAATTACATACAGCTTATATAAAAAAAATGTGACCACTGATATCTCTCTCTCTCTCCTCCGCTCACCTACTTAAACAACACTCTGCCCCTGTGACAGACAGCTTTTGACTGAGACTGATTGCAAAATAATTCAAATATTCAATTGCTGAGCAGCTCAGACGCAACGACGACGACGACAAAGTCGAAGTCGAATTCGAGTTTGAATTCGCGGAGACAACAACAACAAGATTTGATTACGACGTATAAAAATCGCGCGATATTTGAACTACTTGTGGGTATTATAATATTTAAATAGAGTTTGCTTAAATAAATCATGTCTTTAATTTTAACTTTTACTTTTAACCTTTTGAGTCAGTTGAAAATTAATTATTATATATTTATATTAATCATTTTTAGATTATTTCAAAATTATTTTCGAATGAGAATATTAATTATATTATTTCATCAGCGAGAATATAAATTATGATTTGATTACGTTATTAATCACTTTGTACGACTGCTTTTGAGTCATTATTTAAGTAATATAATAATAATATAAACAAATTATTAATGATATTTTAGCTACTGTGTTGGTTTACAATTTTTTATTCAACCGATATAATTAATTTATTTTTTATAATATTAAAATTTTTTTAGAGAAATTCTTGATAATTTCAAAATTGCTTTGAGTTCAAGCGAAAATATTAATTATCTTATAAAATTATTAATCATTTTATGTTTTTTGTTTATATGAAGCTCAATATTTATTTTATTATATATTACTATATTTATTTTATTATGTTCGACTAAGTCAGACCAAAATAATTTTAAAATTCTCTTGTCTTAGAACTTTTCAACAATGAAAAATAATTCTTTATCATTTCTCAAGTAGGGCAAGTAAAATGCGACTTGCAATTTTTTTGTGTCTGATTTTGTTGTTGTTTCTGTCTGATTTTTGTTGTGGCGTATTTCATATCAATTTCAATTGATAAGCACGGCAAAAACTATTTAAGTCAAGTGTGCAAAAAAAAAAATCAGTCGAGCAACAACAACAAAAGCAACAAGTGTGCCGGGCGGTAAAAAGAATAGAACGAAAAAAATATGGAAAAAATGCCGGCCACGTTATCAATTGATAATTAAAGTAATAACAATAATAATCAAAATAAAAGGCTAAGCGAAAAAAATTGAGAATATCGACTCAATTGCGTCGTAATCAGACCTAAAACTAAAACAAAACTCTGCTAAACAGTAACAATAATAATATAATAATAATAATAAAAATTATAGTAATAATAATAGAAACTGCAACAGCAGCATCAGCGACGATGTCTGTAATAAAATTCAAATAAAATTCAATTGAGTTCAACGCGAGGCGTTCTGCGCCAGTTTAATTTAATTACTTACATACACTTGCAAAAATAGTCGACCTACTTTTAACGTCAAGGCTGAGTTAGCTTATTATGCGGAAAGTATTTTACTAAAATTCTGTGTTTTTGTTTTCTTAAATGCAGGTTATAAACTGCTAATTATTTAAAAATATTAAATATATTATAAAATTTGATAGATATATAAAAATATATTTAAATAATGGGCTGTTTTTCCTTATATTATTATTTAGCATATAACTCAGCTTGACTCCAATACATAAAGTTTTTTCGTAATAATTTTCCTTTTTAATTTTTAGAAACAATTTCTAAAACACATTTTCTAATGCTCAGAAAAATTTGGTCTTTAAGTCGATTTTCTAAGAAATTATTTCTGAAAACATATAGTTATAGTTTTCGGGGCGAGTTTCTAAAATTCACAAATTATTTCAAAGACAAGAAAAACTTGTTAGTTTTCAGGGCGATTGACAAGAATTGAGTGCGATTATTTGGCTGAGTGTACGCACATGCTGGCACCCAACCAATGCTCTCACAGGGGAAGAGGGAGAAGGGGAAGGGGAGATTAGAGTATAGCATGACAATATGGAAGCGCTTACAAGGCTTGCCAGGGTGATGGGCAGGGGGCAGCTGGGGGGAGACTTTTTGCCGGCCGCATTTATCTTAAAGCACTTTTGACGCAAATGCTGTCCAGTTATTTGTTGTTGTCATTTGTTGTTGTTGTTTCATTGAATTCGAACTCGAATGCGGAAGTGTTTATTTCACGCACACATACGCAAATACAGCAGCACACACACACGCACACATACAGAGAGAGACTCGGTCTAGTTATGGTTTCTATCTGTCGTCGCCATTTTGTCGTCGTATTTTCTTCATGCGGTGTTTTGATATGCGCAGCTCTATCTCCCTCTCCCTCCCTCTCTTGCTCCATCTCTTTCCCCTCTACCCGCCTCTCACCATCTCCCTCTCTCGCTTGTTGACGTACGCGTGTAATGATAACAGCAGCAAAAGAAACCCGCTCACCTTGCACACACACACACACATGTAAACATTTGGCACGCGTGTTCTTCCAATGCGACGTAATAATAGTTTCCACGATCAGCTTGATTTACGTGTGCTGCTTTGATTACGTTGTGCGTATTACGCTTAATTTAAATTGTGCTTTCTTGCTTACGTTTTTGTTATTGTGTTTTTTAAGTTTGTTTATTAATAATAAGCAAACGATTTTTTTTGTTATTATTTAAATTAGCTATTAACTAATATTCACCAGAAATTTAGTTAATTTATGCTCAAATATATTATATATTAATATTGTTATTACTGTTATTTTCATTATTGTTTTGGATTAGATTATATATGTGTTCTTTATCTTTGGACAAACATTTACATTTACAGCTGTTTTTTTGCGTTTGCCATTCGCTAATCAGACTTGCATTGGTTTTCAATTAGTGCTAGCATAATTTACTCACCCCACAAAAGCAGGCTGATACAGACTTAAGCCAAGTTGCATTCCAATTTTAACAAGTGCCGAAATGGAGAAAAGCGAAGAACGCTGTGGCTGCGCCTGGAAGTAGGAGCAGGAGCTAGAAAAAAAAAATATAAAATAATATAATAAAAAGCTGAAAAAAGAAACAGAATTAAATGCAGAAAAAACTGTTAATAATTATAATGAGCGCGTAATTTACGCATAAATGTCAATTTACGCGTTGCGTCAGTGCCAATTTTCAACGCTACAGTGAATCGAGGCAGAACAACGAGAAACTGCTGCAGTAACCCAAACCCTCTCTTCCACTCCTCCCTCTCCTACTTCCAGTCCGTTGCTCTCTCGATTAATGGAAGCGTGTAAGCGCCAATTGGCCAGGCATCTTGCTTGTTGCTGTAATTGCCATGATAAACAGCAGTAACAACAACAAAAACAACAACAACAGCTGCTATTATTATTATTCTTGTTGCTGTTTAATGCAAAAAAAAAAAACAAACAATATGCGAAGCAGGAAAAAGAGTGCAGCGCGGGAAGAAGAAGAACAACAATATTTTTTTTAAAAATACTGCACAAAACGAGTTTACCGTTGCAGCAACAACAAGTAGAATAAGAATGAAGAAGAAGAAGAATGACGCATGACTTTTGAATATTGCTTTTGGCCATAGAAATTTGGATGTGGGCAAAATCAAAATAGTCCAAATAAATAATCAAATTTTGATTGAAAGTTCTTAGCGATATACAGTGTGTTACAGTTCATTTCGGGCAGTGTCTAGCAAAAACTTTAATTGCCTGCCATTAACAAATTATCCAATATTTTTCAAAAATTCCAAAGACCGGTGGCAGGTACATATATTAACCACCATAATGAATATATGACCCCCATAAACTGGGGTTTCCCCGCCGGCTAGGCCTGGTTATGTAAAAAAGTACCTGAAATTATGGTTACATTTTATTTCGGGCAGTGGCATTATGGACACCTGGGTGCCATAAAACCCGGATTTTTTACGCCGGGATGATTATTTTTGGAATAAATAGACCAATCCTTCGTAGTCAGTTTAGTTATATCCTGCATCTCGGGTGCCACCAGCCAACAAGGACTATGGACAAACGGACTACCATTGAGCAACGGAATCTCATCCTAGAACACTTCCAGATTGGATATTCACATCGCCAAATAGCTAAAATGGTAGATCTGAGTACCACAACTGTATTCAATATCATTCGACTCTTCGTCGACGAAAATCGGATAGAGGACAAGGGCAGAAGTGCACCAAACAAGATTTTCACCGAACAGGAGGAGCGGAGGATCATCAGGAAAATAAGGGAAAATCCCAAGCTATCGGCTCCAAAACTGACTCAACAGGTGCAGGATGAAATGGGGAAAAAGTGCAGTGTGGAAACTGTGCGTCGGGTTCTGCGCAACCATGACTTTAATGCCCAAGTACCACGG